ATACTAACGGCAAGAAGTATCAACGACTGATAAAGACAGCCAGAGACTTTGACTACGGCCAGTTTGAGCCCCATATAGTGCCCAGCACAAAGAATCTGTACGTATTCCTCCTGTATGTTACACTTCACAATTTGTTCAATATGCGACATGAAGTGGTCAAGCTTTACAAAGTTCTTGAGTCTATATAAGTTTTGGGAGACTAGGAAAGTCTTTATAAAGTATTTATCAACTTTTAAGCACATGGCTTATGAGTGAAATGTTATTAAGTAATGGCAGACTTCAACTCTGTTGCTAGTTCTTGTTTTTTTTTCTTTCTTTCTGTGTCTGTCAGACACCAGCTGTTTTGCAAACTCACTCTCAGACATATCAACAAGTTTCCAGAGCACGTGCTGTGCCATGTCCAAGGGAAGCGCTATCAGAAGGCCCTAAAAAAGTGTAAGTAGCTTTTCTGAATATATAACTGGACAGTTTTTTTTTTCCCTGAGCTGTTGAGATTTCAGTAGATCTACATGAAGGGAAGGGTCAGTTTTCGTTAGATTGACGGTAAGGTACTGCTGTTGCTGGTGGTGCTCCTCAGCTAGGAAGGAAGATCCCAGACATAGGGAACAATCAGCCTCTAGCAATTCCCTTGGAACATCTCTTGAGAGGAGGAGCTGTTCTAAAACTTGCCCAGTGAGGGTGCTTCACACATCCTGCACAATCTTTGGGTTAACATCTTTCATGATCCATATATAGCTGTAGAGGATTACATGAATGGAGCTCGACATACTTTTGAGTTGCATTTAATGTAAGATAGAGCTGGGAAGGAAAATGACTCGGGTGACTGGTGACCTTGCTAAGTGCTGCCTGACCCCTCGCACTGTTAGATGAAGAGTGCCAGAAGGAAGGGGTGGAGTACGTCCCTGCCTGCCTGGCACAGAAGAAGCAGCGCTCCGGTGACCAAGTGAATGGAAGCAAGGAGCCTTACAAAACAGAATTCTGGGAGCCGATGTACAGTGATGAGGATGGAGAGAAGACGGACGACAGCATGAGTGACCTGTACCCATGTGAGTAAGAACATTGGAATTGTCTGTCGTGAAGGAAGTTTGTCAGCTAATTTTGTCATGTTTATTTTATACTGCTCCCGGTTGCTCATATGCTGAAGGCCTGTGACGTCCATCCAGCTGGGGGTTCTTGGGTTTTGGGAAAGCAGTTCTCTCTTATCACTAAGTGATAACAGCGTTGGATCACATAACATGTGAGGGGAGGGAGACAAGATGCATGGGGATGTGCTGCTTTAGGGATCTCTCCTTCCCTTGTTTTCAGCAAGTGTTGGGGTCTGACAGAAGTTCGTCAGGCCATTCTCCTGTGCTGTCTTGCCGTAGGAAAGCAGGGTTGTGAACCCACAGAACCACCTGTGCTGAACTGTTGCTCAGAGACTGGAAGCAGCTTGACAAATCACCTTTAAGATGGCCTCAAAGTAAAGCTGGGGGGCGGCAGAGCCTGCGTGCAAATGGAACTGATCCTGAGCTCAATGTTTACGTTTTAGCTGCACTCTTCCAAAAGAAATACGCAACAGCTGCACAGACCCCAAAGGGCAGCAATGACTTCGCAGCAGACAGTGAGGATGGCGAGGCCAAGCAGAACGGTGACATGAACGGAGAGGACCGGGGAAGAATGGCTGTCAGCAGAGCAGCTGGCAACAAAAGGAGGAAGGTGGGAGTCACGCTGCCGCGTGCAGCAGCAGGGGAGCACGGAGCTGGGATCTCATCCTGTAGATGTTTCTCTGATGTATTCGTGCCTAAGAACCAGCAGAAGGTGCAAAGCTGTTCAGAACAGGCTTTCCCCATGTTCCAGCCCCTGGCTCACATCCCAAGGTTTGGGTTGCTACCAGCAAATGCTTATCCTGCCTGTAGAAGTATCTCATCTTTGGTGGGATCCTACTGCATGCTGCCTTCACAGAGAGACTGAAGCATTTCCTGTGGGCTCCACATCTTCCTCTGTGTATGTACAAGCACCAGTTAAAACACTTTGGAAGTCACAGCTCTTTTTCCTGCCTCTTTTAAGGAGCTGTCCCGGTCCTGCCTTACAGACTATAACCTGATCCTTATCAGTTTAGGAAGCAGGCAGAGATTTTGTACGTGATGAATAAACGTTTAACCCTCTACAGCAGCCCCTGAGGAAGGGGCTAGAACCTTTATATCTGTATCAAACCAGAAAGCAAAGGCTGGATGGTTCATTTCTGTGAGGAGACTGTTGCTGTTTGTATCCAAAGAAACCATATGCCTGTTAGAGAAAGGAACAGGGCAAGGAAAGATTCCCCCCTGGCGCTTTGGCCAGAGCTGTGCTTGTTCTGGCTGCTGTCTCTGGTAAAGAAGAATACTCAGTTTCTTTTGTTTAAGCTATCTTGAGCAGAGCTGAATTTGGGTTTTGGAAATAAGCCAATTAAACTTTTTTTTTTCTCTCTACAGAAAGAGTCAGGCCCTATAAAGAAGAAATTCAAAAGTCACCATCAAAAACCTAAGAACTTCTAGAACACAGCCAACAGGAAATAAATTTTTTAATAAATACATGGCCTGAAGAAGCCTGGTGTGTAACAATTTCAGAGGGGGCACAAGGCTGGCTGAAGCATTTGCCCATTCCAATTGCCCATCAGAGGTGGGGGAAGAGTGGGGTGGAATTAAGTTGTATCCTCACAGCCTCAAGGCATCCCCCACTGCCGCAGTCAAGTACCGGCCTCTTTGTGGAAAGATGGTTTTCAGTAGGCAGGAGAGAAAGCACACAAGACCCCTGTCCAGCATATCTGGAGACACTCCAGTCACACACACCAAGTGGATACAAAGATGCCATTGTTTTATTTTGATTGTTTCCAAAAATCAAAACATTTTCAAACACAACTAAGGTACAAAATACAGCATAAAATGAGAATTTATACTTAATTCTTTTTTTTTCCACATAGAAAGCAAAAATATATTCAGAATGAATTCCAGAACACTTTGCAGAGCCAATTGACAGCTGACATCCTGCTTGTGAGAGCTTCTCAGCCACAGGGAGAGGTCACTGTTTTATTGGGAGATGCATGAATACAGCAGTGTATGTAAGAAAGCAGAATCTTCTGCATCGGGACTCACAGTTCGCAAGTCTGCGTATTGCGCTGTCTAGAAATACCTTATAATGCCCTCCATCTAACCACACCCCTTGAGCACTGAAATAATGCTGCTGCCAGGGACAGGATCAGTTCCTCCTCTGGGGTCTTTTGTTGGAAAGGGGACTTGATTTTCACAGAAGAAAGTGGTCAACATCACCCAGCTCCCTAGTTAGAACACAGAGACACCGAAAAACCCAACTTAACAGTTACTTACAGGAGCCATTTCTGTCATTCCATTTATAAATACAGTGAGCAGCAGCAGTTGATACTGGAATGGCTGCCTTGATGTAGACTAAGACCATTCTAGGACCTGCAGTGAAATTGAGCAAAAGCATCCGGTGCTGCTTATCCAGAACTGAAAGGACCAGTTTGGTTTGCTATGAAGAGACAGACACGGTGAACGCTTGAGGTGAAAACTTCTCCTGCATAACCTATTTAAAAGAAAGCCTTCCACATGACCTGAACTTAAATGCTGGCTTCTCCTCCTCTTGACCCCCACACAGCAATTTGTTTCCTTCAGCAGCAGGACACAGGCTATTTTTCCCTTAAGATGATGAAATGACTGGTTTAACATTCAACAGTGCTCTTCTCTTTGTCATCAGTTCTTTCAGCCTAGCTTCCTCTCTTAAAAAAAAAAAGCAACTGTTAAGCGGAACTGTCCAGGTTAGTGTCCTTACCAGGAGTCTCTGGTAAATAGCTCCTGTTGGAGGATGTTCAGCTTAATTACTCCTTGAACAAACAGTTGAGCAGCTTTCTCAAGGGAGACAACAGTGCAAGGAATCAGTGTCAGGTTAGCAAGCGGTAGGGCTCATGCTTTCTAGAATTCTTTCATGATCTAGTGAAACAGGTTCACCTAGTTGCCTAGCAGAGGACAAAATGCCTCCTCTGAGCAGCACTAAGCATGTTCATGGCACAGAGGTTGTGGCACCGAGAGATGAAAATGGGGCCTTCCTCTCTCCTCACCGTTACGCTGAGGAATTCCTCCCTCTGAACACGCAAGTTACATCCCTGGCTGCTTATTCACCATGCGGGCTTTGCACTTGCATTCTTCAGCTATAACCGTCTGCACACAGAGTTGAGAACCAGGGCTATGGCAGCTGACTTCCACGTTTCCTCCCTACACATCTCCAGGGTGGTCCGAGATGGCAGAGAGAAGGGGCTGTGCTCAAGAGTTGAGCACCCCAGCTCTTCCGCTGTTCAGTCAGCTGAGACTTGTACAGCTGAGGGACTGACAGAAGTGACTCTAAGAAGCAAAGACTACAGATTAGAAGACTGACTTGCATGTACTGAGTGCAGGGAAAAGGGGAGTTTCTGTAATTCTGAAGATGCTTCCACCAATAACGTGCAATTCAGGTATGGATTTGGGGCACATACAGATGGAAGCTGGTTAACAGCAGAAAGGGGCTTTTATTATGGAGCCTGCAGCACAACTTGGCTCCCTTTTTTGGGAATTCAGGAGGGGCAACTTTAGGGAAA